GACACAGAGCGACCGCCATCAGACCTCCACAAATCAATTACTAGGCGATTTAGAAGTTCTGTAAAAAGACTGTTGTAAGACTTTTTACTTAAGGCTTCACCTACCCGTAACGATTACCACAGATGTTTGTATGGCAACCGGGACGGATGGCTTAACGTACTCTCCGAGACACGGAGGGGTTTCAATATGTTAAGTATGGTCACCCATCCATAGACTGACCTGGGAAGGTATTAACCTACTTGTTTACCATTTAGCCACGAGCAACTCAACTTATTATCAACTAATAAACTAAAATTATCAAATAATATCTTACCAGACTCCTTAGTAAATACTCGTACATTTCTTGAAGATGCTTTTTCAGTAAATGCAATGGTACATTTGCAGATAGACACAGACGACATATCGCCGAGTCCTCCATATTTTTATATTGATAAAATTACTATTCGGTATTCGAATCAAATTAATATCATCACATTCAATTGAATATTAATTTAAAGACCAATTTTTGTCACTCGTATGTTTATTTAGAACGGAACGGGCTCTTTGTTTTATTTGATTTATATTCATACAATATTAACATATTTAAATTTCATTCCTTCTATACAATACAAAGAGTAAAGCAGTCGGTACTACTACAGGGAGTAATCAATCTGCGTCACCACAGTGAAACACAATAAAAGTATTGACAGTGGGATGTGGGATACCAACTTCTACATTCATTTACCCATCGTAGTCCTTAAAATCACAAAAGGGAAAAATAATATACAAATTTGACTTGACACGAGCTGCTAAGTAATATTGTTATTAATTTTGAGTAATAATAAAAGTTTGATATCGTCGGTATTGATAATATTTATGACTATGAAAGGGAAAGTGATGGGGATCGCCCTAGATCGCTCTCTTGATCACAGAGTGTGTAGGAATAGCATTATTATTAAAGCGGTTACACACGCTCCTAATATCAGTGGCAATATCGGAAAGCGGACGAGTCCTTTTCTGCACGGTGGGTTACGTAGTAACTTACAGGATCGTGTGTAGAGTAGTGGCCGATTTCACCCCCACCATCACTCTCCCGAGCTGACCGTAGCCGCTTTTAAAGGAATAATTGTAATTTGCTAGTATATCTAACTTCGCTTCTATCAAGTTAGAATGTGCATGTAGTACTTAACGTGCTCTAAAGCTTTTTTACGTTTTAAGTACTTAATTCTTGAACTCTTGAAATGTTTAATAAAGAGGATACTGGAAGATTTTTGGAAACCTGGATTTTTATCTCATGTTAAGTCCTGTACCTGGAATGACAGGACAGAAATTCGTTTTATATTCGCGTATTTTTTAGCTACTTCTTATTAAAATCTTCAGGGAAAATATCTAATGCTGGCAGCCCTATTTGAAGAAATTTAATTTTGACGTTACGTTTAGTAATAACGCATGTATGAAGAAAGACAACACAGTAAAAATAAGTTGGGAAAACTAAGTGCGAATGAGTTTGGATGTACGATTACTGGATTGGAACCTGCCCTTATAGAAAACATGATTCAATAATATGGGATTTCAGACCAGATATCCCGTATGAATCCTTTGAGCTGTTCCGTCTTATTATGAGTTTTACAAGTAGCCAAAAAAAATAATTATCATTCTGAGTCAACGATATTTTAAATTGTTAGACTTGAGAATGATTAAAAAACTAAAAACCTTTAAGAATAGAGAGCACTCCGACCTCAAGGGCTGTTAACGCACTTGACTCTTGACTTGTAGGTGTCCGTGAGCGGTGGTAGTCACTAACAACTTAAAACTTTGGTTTTCATAGCTCATAGTTCGCCATGTTCTTGAATTTTACATCATGGATATGGGATATTTACAATATTCTCCTAATGAAGTGACGTCTAGTCACTTGTAACCTATTATCTATCTCTTTCTACCATTAACTCTAATCACGATTGGGATATAATCAATAACAAGGATGATTAGAAAAGATACGATACGATAAAACAAAAAGGATGTACTAACAATAAACATATATAGGTATTTATTCAAAGTTAATGTTTTCCTTCAGCCGTGATCTAAACTCGACGTCTTTTTAAATAGATATCTTTATCTCTCTGTCTCTCTCTTTCTATTTTAGTTTAGATTTTTCTCTTTTATAGCAAAATTCGAAACGACGGGTCACTTGATGGTTGGTGAACGGAACTGCCCGTGGACACCAGCAAAGAGTCACTAGTGCGTTGCAGCTTTTCGAATGCTCCGAAGAATTAATGAAAAGCTCCCCCCTCCGTTGCACTTTGTTACCTGCCCACGTTAATTCGTCTTCATCACCCTTATCAAATTATCGCAGTCCACTGCTGGACATAAGCATCTCCCATTGCACGCCACATAGATCAATTTTTGGCTTCTTGCATCCAGCTTCTGCCAGGTATCTTGCGCAATACGTCACTCCACCTGGTCAGTGAGCATCCTACACTACGTTTGATGAGATATCCATTCAAGAACTCCTTTCCCCCGACATTTTATTAAATGGTTGACCATATCATGAGAATAGGACGTCAGAGTGTCGTTGGAACAATAAATTTGCTATAAAAGTGATTGAATTACAATTGTTAATTTAAATTCTTTTCAATCAACTCAGAGTAAACGAACCATTTAACTAAAATCTTTAGATTTTGTCAAAATCTTGAGTTACTTAATGTAAAATTATGACATTACAATTTTGGCGTATTTCTTTTATTACTCTGTGTAAGTGTTAAAATGTTCTTTACCAATTTTTGACCCATTGCCGTTTGAGGCACATATTGCAGTTTACACACTAAACCCGCCGACCCACTGACGCAGGTTTGATATCTATTTCAAAAGAATCATGTCGGCGACTTATAGCGTGTCGCCAGGTGACTTCTGACACCATGGCGGCGGCTTGCGTATGCGCGCAAGTCGCAGACATCATTTGCTGGCAAACACTCAAGTGACGTGTTAGTGCTTTATTTTGTTATGTTGCAATAGTGGAATGGGAGGAAATTATCGATTTAATACTTGAACGAGACGTAAAGTCGCCGACTAACCCGCTGACAAAGTTTTTTTACTTGAACGATATATGAAGTCGCCGACTAATCCGCCTACAAAAAGTCGAGGACTCAAGTCGAGTTTGGTGTGTAGACTCCTTTAAGGCTAGGCTCGACTGGAGTGACACCACTGCCTCACGTGATATGATGATGAGGAATCGAGGAATCTGATGTTAAGAAATAGTCGTTAAAGAAAGGTACGCGAAGTTTAAAAAAGTGAGTCGTGTATCTCTGTAAATAACACCAACTATGAGTAAAGTTGAGACCGACTTTTATTTTTAAGCTATTGCATAGCTTCTATCGCGAGCCTTGAGCGTGGAGACCGAATCCAGAAATTCCGTAACGAAATAACCTAACACACCCCACGTGATACTTTTTAGTTTTGCCATCTATCGATGAATAGCAGAACCTTTAATGACTTTTTTGAAATGTTGAAACGCTTGTCTCTTTAGTTCAGCAACTCGCCTCTAGGTGGCATTGGTTGTATCGGCGTTACTGCGCATGCGTAATCCCCCTCTTCGCCCCGCAATCGAATTAATATCAAAAAAAAGAACAAGGGAAAAAAATTAGTGCATAAATAAAATAAATAAATAATTATAATTGCATAAGTGGCAAAAAAAGCTATGCAATAACTTTACCGCGGCAGTCCCCGAGTGCCACACGTCTTTTTTTTACTGCTAAGGAAGGGTTATGTTTTTCTTGCGGTTTTTGTATGTTTGGTTGTAGATTTCGTATCTTCCAAATGGCTGGAGCGATTTCTGTAGACGGATAAAACAATACCCTAACTGTAGACCACCTAAAGACACTTGGGTTTTAAAGACGAGTTTTAAAACCCAAGTGTCTTTTGGTGGTTATTTTAAAGAAGAAAACAAAATGGCGGATTTTTGACGTAAAACCGTAAAAGAAAATTGAAAGGGGATTACAAGATATACCTCTATAAATTATAATTGATATTAATTAAGGAATAATAAATTGGTTTTATAAAGGTTTTTATAGTGTAAATTTGGCTAGCGTAAATTTGAATTTTTAATGTTTAATGTGTTAAAAAAATTCTTGACTTTTAATACAGAAATCTGAAAAAGATTTTTAATAGTATAGCGGGTAAACAAATACACTGGTCAACTCATGTACTTTTGCAACTGAAAGTTACAAGTGTCGTTTTTTTAATGCTTGCCACAAGAATGGGGGGAGGGGGGTTGAGCCTTACAGAACTGATTAAGAAATGAAATTTCTTTCGCACGTCACAAGAGAGAGAGAGAGAGCGTGTATTAATTTAAGTTTTGTTTTTATGATAGAGAGGGCAGACGAGCAGACGGGTCACGGAAAGTGACCATCGCCGCCCATGAACGTCTGTAACTCAGGAGTCACTAACGCGTTGCCGGCCTGTAACTAAGTAACTGTTATATTGTTTTCTTTTTATTTTCAGTAAATTGCGTGAGTCCTGAGCGCCATGTTCTATCAAAATATGAAACCTACCTTATTTTAGAGACCATATTAAATGCCTCTATTATAAAATTCGACAACAGTATTATGCGTTTAATAAACGACATAGACAATACTCAGGAAATTACTACTGGAAATCCGCCATTTTCAAATATAAAAACAATACCTGAGACTCATATAAATACATTTCAACTATCATCCTCTACCTCAAGTACAAATAATTCTAAACAATCTTCCTTGTCTAAATTAAATACAACCGTAAAACCTAAAACTAGTTTTAAACACATAAATTATTCAAAAAGTTTTGCATCAACCAATGATGAGCTATTTACTGGCAACCCTAATTTAAATAATAAGATAGGGTCCTCGTCATATAACCAAAGTGTAAATTTGAATGATGAACTATCAACCGCCAAGTCTTATAATATATCGACTTCTCAAAACGCATCTGACAGCAATTACAAACTATACATGACTAGTTCAATACCTAAAATGCTCTCATCGAAAATGAAGAAAAACACAACTTTGAATATTATTGCCACTAATAAGACAGATATAACCAATTCTTCGCGATCACTTCGGTAAGTTTATATTATACCTAATTGGTAAATTAATATTACATTTAAACATTACAAATCGGTTAACTCGAAAATGCAAAGACAATCGATTAGACAAGCCGAGCCGACAACCCTTTTTTTTTTTTTTTTTTTTTTACGTGTGGAAATCCCCTCGGGCCGTCACCCCGCCGGGGCTCTCGTTCGGCGGGGCGGTGTGTCGGACTCGAACCGACTAAAACCACACGGTGTGCCCTCTTTGCGCTTCCAGTTTAGGAGGGGTCCAGGTAGCTATCTCCTTCTGGACCCCTCCCAGCGCCGGCCCGCTCCTGGTGCGGGCTCCGTCTCTGATCTTTCCTCTCTTTAGGCGACGTCCGGCACACGCGGACGCCGCCCCCTCGCGGCTGGCCAACTAATGCGGGTGGAGGGGAGAACCCATCCCGTCCACCCGCGGCCACACTCAGGGCGGCATGAGGCGCAGGTAAGCGCGCCTCCGCCGCCCGGTTCGCCGGCGGCGGATCAGGTCCGAGTGGAGGTCGTCCTCCCGGGCCTTCTCCGCCGCCTCCTTCTGCGAGATTACCTCCTCGCAGAAGGTTGCGACCGCGGTAAATCAACTGTCGCTACCGGCCATGGAGCGAATTACGGCCGGTAGCGAGAGATCTGCTCCGATGACTGCAGTGAGGGCCCGGCGCTGCGTCGCCCATGCGGGGCAAACCGCCAGCGTGTGCTGGGCCGAATCCTCACTGCAGTCGCAGTGGTGGCAGGCGGGACTCGATTCCCTCCTAGCGACCGAGTACAGGTACTTTCCGAAGCAACCGTGCCCGGAAAGCACCTGCGTCAGCCGGAAGGAAAGGGTCCCGTGCTGCCGCCCTGCCCACTCGGCGATGACCGGCTGGAGAGCCTCCACGGCGGCGAAGCCAGCGCGTGGAGTCTCCAGCCGGAACGACCATCTCACCATGGTGGCTCGGCGAGCGGCTTCGCGCCACTCGCGCACGTCTTCGGGCGGAGGGCGAAATCCGCTCTCCGCCCGGAAGTCAACCACTCGCCGATAAACTTCGGCGAGCACTTCCGCCTCCAAATCCCACGGGGGTGTTCCGGCCAAGGCACAGGCCGCCTCGGTGGACACCGTGCGGTATCCGCGTATGGCTCTGACCGCCAATATCCTCTGGGGGCGCCAGAGGCGCGCCCTATTCGGGGCGGTCAGAGCCGCCACCCACACCGGTGCACCATACAGCGCCATGGACCGGACAACCCCTGCGTACAGCCGCCTCGTGGGAACACTGGCCCCGCCCAAATTGGGCAAAAGTCGCCCTAGGGCGGAGGCAGTGTCCACCAGCTTCGGACCAAGCTGTCGGAAGTGCTCGTCGAAGAGCCACCTACCGTCTAGGACCAGACCCAGGTACCTCATCTGGGCCCGGACCGGTACGAGGACCGAGCCGACCTCGATTGAGGCGCCGGCGGGCGGACCACGACGGGGCCCATGAAATAATAGGGCCTCCGTCTTATCCAGGGCCACCCGCAAACCCAACGCCTCAATGCGCCCGACCACCAGGGAGACTCCCGTGGCGGCCAGGCGCGCCGCCTCCTGGAAGTTAGCCCCCCGGGCCGTGAGCAAGGTGTCATCCGCGTAGCAGATTACACCCAGCCCGGGGGGGAGACGCCCTCGTAGGGCCCAGTCGTACCCGATGTTCCACAGGAGAGGTCCTAGGACAGACCCCTGCGACCTGCGCACGACATGGCCCTGCGTCTCAAGACGCCATCTCGGTCCTCGTACATGACGGTTCGCTCCTCAAGATAGTCTGCCACCAGCCGCCTCAGGTACTCCGGCACTCCGTGGTAGCGGAGCGCTTCCCTGATGCAGCTGAATGGCAGACTATTGAAGGCGTTGGCGATGTCCAAGGACACCGCCAACACCACTCCGCCGCAGAAGCCGACAACCCTATTTTAACCCAGACTGTGCCGTGCCAGAAGTTTTTCCTAGTGTATGTGTGCAAAGAACAACTAAAATCGACAAACTTAATTACCTAATTAATGAACTTTAAAGTTGAAAAACATACCCATTTTGTTTCTTTTAGCCGAATACAAGAGGTTAAATTTTTAAGTGTGTACGTTTGTATGTTCGCTCGCGTTGTATGTCGTATCGTTGTTGTCCTGCGTAGTTTGCTCCCTTAGTCAGCTCTTGCGATAAATGGGGCTGGTTACACTCCGTATTTTTAATCCGTCACCACACGGACGAGCCTGTCGCTAAAAATATTAGTGCGTCAGAAAATACTATCCACCCACCCGACGGCGCTTGTGTTCTTTCTTCATTACATTTGATGCACATTATTTATTTATTGGTGATGGGGCGGAAAATTAGGCAAATGCTTTCGTAAAATCGACAGCCAGGGCTTAGCAGTTAGGGTCACTAGCCACTAGAGCAAAACGTCCGTGTTGTGTTAATTTTTCACTCTTAGGGGGGTATTTTTATTCAAACTCGAATGAGAACATACGTGAAGTATTCTTGTTTCAGACGCCAAGTTGGCGAATTGGAGTCAGCGCTAGGCAGCATCGTAAATAAATTAGAGGGTACTGGCAAAGCGGAGCAGTTCTACGAACCGTTCTGGCCAGGGGGTCAATATGTGTTCATGAGGTAATTTTAATTTATCCATGCTAATATTATAAAGCTGAGTTTGTTGTCACTTTTTGTCACTCAATAAAAGATAACATATTATCAATTTGAATGTTACTGTATCTATTAAAATTTAGAAATAAAGGCATAGCGTAAGACTCTCCAACATTTTTAATTAGTAGTGTTAAAAAAGAAGAAAATACTGCAGTTTAATAGAAGGTGTATTTTGGGGCTATACCATTTTTTTTTCACGCCGTCTCGGGTACCAGTACCCTGGGACCCTGGGACTCGGCCGCCGAAGATGTGTCAGAGCTATGTGTGGTTTTAAAAGCACCGACAGTTGTCGACCGTATTTTATACGCCTAAAATTCTTACCTTGCCATCTGTACATGTAAGAAACAAATGTGCCCGTGTAATCAAACATCTCATTATACAAAATAGCATAAAAATAATTCGGAACTCCAAGTTACATATGGCAACACTTCACTAATGAATAAAAGTACCTTCTGTATGGCCCACAAAATATTCAACAAACTATCTGAAAAAAATTAAAACGCTAAATATAAAAAAGAAAAATTAAAAAAGAAGGATTTTTTTTTTATAAGTAAACATTTGGCTATTTGGACAACAATTCTATAATTAATAATTCAGAAAATTGTACAATACCTCATCTGTCTTTGTGATTTTGAATTAATAAACTTAGTCTATGTTATTTGTCATTTATTAGAATTGATTGTATTTTGTATTTATTTTAACATGCATGTGATTATTTATTATATTATTGTTTACGTTATTAATAATGTGGAAGTATAAATAATCCTACAAATTAATGATATTTTAAAAAGTAAAATGCGTGTTAAAAGTAAGAAAAAGACAATTGACAATGTTAATTACATAAATATTCATTTGTACGCCCTTCGGCAAAACACAGAGGATTTACTCTGTAACATTTAACACTCTGTTGTAATTTGCATATAAATGATTCTGATTCCTCCTATTCATCGCGTGGGTGTCGTACGAGCCGACTAAGGGAGCAAACTGTGCAAAACAACAGCACTGCAAAGAGAAGGAAAACTTGAAACAAACCCTATACCCACCCGTCGGACCAGCGTGATATAGTAGGCCAAAACCTCAATTTTAAGGAGAGGCCTTTGTCCAACAGTGGATTGTTAAGGGCTGTTGATGATGATGATGATTCTGATTCTGATGAAACTTAAGCAAAGAAAGAATCAAATATATTGAATTTTCTTTTAACAAAGACTACACTCCTTTTTTAAGATTTAGACCTTACGTCTGGCGTTAACGTAATGATAATCATAGTTGCAGTGGTTTGTAGATTAGTCACAGGCGTGATGCATGATTTTAGAAATCATATGATTTATCATAGGTAATAGTGATTTTATTCCATCCTTCGCGCGCTTCCTTGTAAACTGTGCTGACTGTGCTGAGCGCCAGCAGATGGCGCATACGCCACTTGTTGGCAGCAGGGTCTGTGTTAGCTATTCGTTTTGTTAACTTTGATATTGTCACGTTTTTCGTTCATATTACACGGATTAAGCTGTTGCTAATAATAAATAAATATGATGTAACTGATTTATATGTTTTCAGACCTGGCAGTAACCAGGGTAAGTTAGATATGTCATAGTACATGTTTTCTCTGATGTCGCGGAGAAAGGTCCGAAAAAAATGTCTATACATTATGGAGATTAGAGGTGCTGACACAGAACAATTGACTATTTGATGAACAATGATTATTTGCCGTGGGTAGGAATCATCAATCACTAGCCCAACAGGCCAATCAAATATCGATAAAAGTCCTCCGTCCGGAGCTTTCAGATTTACCTGTGGTTGGGACGTTAGTGACACCAATGTTCTAAAGGCGAAAGTTCGTTAATTCTTTAAGCTCAAACGGCTGATCCAATTTTTATAAAATTTGGTATGGAGGGTGCTGATAACGTGGATAAACACATAGGCTACTTGTTTTGCCCGAAAAAAGGCAGCATTCCCGTAGGGGAATACTGCGGTACATTACTGAAATATATTTGCTACTCTTTCAAACTCAAACGGTTTGACCTTTACGCTACTATATTGAGATATGTATACACGTGTACCTATTTGATAAACCGTAACAATGCGTCTCCGTGTGATGATGGATTAAGAATGCGGCTTATCACCACCCCTATTCCTCCCGCGGGTGTCGTAAGAGCCGACTAAGGGAGCAAGTTTGTAAAAATATCTGATAAGATTTACTTGCAGAAATAAATACCATTTCATTATTTCATTTCAAGCTACGCAGGACAAAAGCACAGCAAAGAGAAAGAAAACCTGAAACAAACCCTATACCAACCCGCCTGACCAGCGATGTATAGTAGGCCAAAGCCTCCTTTCTAAGGAGAGGCCTATGTCCAGCAGTGGTCTACTTAAAGCTGTTAATGATGATGATGACGATGAACAACTTGGGGCGCAGCGAGTAGTAAATAATTCACAGTTGTAATTTGTTTTTTTTTAGCTGGTGAAAGTGCAAATGACATCAACACATACACTGATTGTGATAGAATTTGTTCAGTTTTCGAAGATAAATGGCAAGATATTTTTATAGTATTAAAAAAACAAATAGATTTTAAAAGCAAGTAAAGTGATTAGTAGGTAGGTAATAAGAATGTAAAGTTCGCCCGCTCGTCGCGGCGGCGGCGTCGCCGGCATTGCGACGCTGCCGTGTACAGTTCACCGACTCAAGTTAACAATGGTTTTTAATTAGGCAATTATTATATTGTATTTATTTTGTTCTGAATTTGCGTTGCTATATTTTCGTACTAATTTTTTTATTTTTTATTTTAATCGACGTATATTGAACCGTGTTATCTGTTATTTCATTTTTTGTAATAACCTTCATCACATATTTAAAGTATTGGAACGAAGTTCCTTATCGCGCGTTGTGAAAGGGGGCTAGACGGAAAAAAATCTCACGAAAAGTTGCAACGACACTTTTTATGTCAGTCATTCAACGCCATCTATCGAATAGATAGGAAATCATTACTTTCATCTCAGTATTTATTTTGAATTGTCACTTGTCAGTCATTCAGCGCCATCTATCGAATAGATAGGAAATCATTTCTCAAGGAGATTTTACCAATGTATAAATTGTTTTAATTAGAAACCAACTGAAAAATATGTAGGTAATAGCCGCTTTCATAGATGGCGTTGTAATTAAAATCGTGTCTAATCAGTTTTACTAGATCGTCACAACTTCGTTCCTATCGGGTGTCCCACGACACCACACGGCTTTTTTTTTAAATTGTTTTCGGTAAAATGTTCTGTTCACTCATTGTGATATTATTTTTCATCACTTTAACTATAAAATTGGTAAATTATAAAAAAATTGATGAATTTTGCCGGCAGGAGGCGGGGTCAGGTTTTTTTTAAACAATGCCCACATTGGGATTATATCCTGTGTCACGGGGGACTTTACAAACATACATGAAACGGACACAAAGAACACCCAGACTCAGAACAACAATTTGTGGATTACACAAAGTGTCGTCCCACGTGGGCATCGGGCCCCCAATACTCAGCGTAGTAGTGAATGAAAAACACTCGATTTTCATATTTGTTCTTTGTATGTCAGTTAGTCACTGGGATAGTGACGTGCAATACGCGTAGTGATGTGCAACGCCACAGCTTAAACCAATACGCCATTCGTGCAGTCGTTTGTGCATTTGGGAGGTAAGTGTTTATATTATTATTTAATATTGTAGGTATGGCGAAATATGCGCTTGTCGCCGTGACGACTGGTGGGTTGGTCTAGAACTCAAGAATTTTACATCGCTATGTGCCATGGAGAAAGAAAATTGTGAAAGTCCTGTAAAAAGTAAGTTTTTGGAATAGTTAATTTTTGAATCTATCTCTATAGAAGAAGAAACTGACAGATAGATTCACTGATTGATCGATCAACACACAGCTGAAAATGCTGGGTCTAGAAGCATTAAATTTTGAGTTTATGTTCCTTAGGTGACGTGAGTGTGCACTAAGAAAGGCTTTTTTGGTAGTAGGGTTTTATAACTCACAGTAAATACTCTTTTATTAAAAGTAATAAAAAAAGTTACTAAGTTTGCAAAACTACCCTTAAAAAGGGATGCAAGTCAGTATGGGGAACTATATTTTTAATGAATCGATTCCAAACTAACGGAACAATTATTATCCTTTATCAGAAAAAAAACAATCAAATAATCACATATTTTTTTAAATTTTCGAAAGTCGAAGTATGTTTGTTACTCAATCATGAAAAAACCGCAGCAAGAAACTAGTCTTCTGGCCAGACGGTCCAGTGGTCGAATGTTAAGTCCGACATCGTTCGTTTAAGTCCCACCATTAATTTAATTCGTTCATGGGCGGCGGTAGTCACTTTCCATCAGGAAATCTATTACGCTAATTTAATATTGTATCTATAGACTGTCGTCGGAATAGTTTTGCAGTTTTCGTGTTCTTCTAACTATGTAAGATCAATCCCGGTGACTGTCACTGAACTGCCACTGATACAAATGTCGTCTACGTCTTTGTAATAGTTTGGTTAACGGTACATTTTAAATTTGTAAGTAAATTATATATTTATTTTTTTCAGATATGGCAATATAGTTAGTATCGCCATTGATGAGCCATTGTCACTACATCGACAGTCTATTGACACTGTGAATTTATGTTAGTAGAATACCGATATTTTGACGGATGTCAATGATAGCTCAAAGGCATCTTAATAGCTTGTCAATAGAATGACAGTGGCTTGTACGCTAACATAAAATAGTAGAATTGAGGCCCAGGTGACCCCTCTTGCATAAAAAACCAGGATAAATAATTGTGTGATGAGCACGACCATTTGTTCTGTGTCTTGGTGTAATTTATATAATACGAATGTATTTAGAAGTATATAAGTGTTTATCAGCAGTCTGGTTCCCAGAATTCAGGCTCTTCCAAACTTGGGATCAGGTGGTCGTGTGTGAGATGAGCTAAAAAAACTATATTAAATAATTCATTCGGTCAATTATCCTGATCGCAGGTCACATGTTCTTCAGAAATCAATATCTAAGTTACTAAAAATAACTTCTTATTATTTTCAGGACCTGGTACGTACCTTTTTACAATATTATTCATTACCATAGATAAGAAGACCACACTTATGTCAGAACTACCAATCAGTCAAATGTTTGCTTTTTAAAAAAATATTTAAAAGCTACCCACTTGCTCCAGCTCTGCATGAGTGTAAGTCTGTATAACTGCCCTGTTGGTCTAGTAGTTACTGACCTTGACTTCTAAGCAAGAGGTTCGTGTGTTCGATTTCCACTTAGGACAAATAATTGTGTGATGAGCATGATCATTTGCTTTGTGTCTGGGTGAAATTTATCTATAATATGTATGTATTTAAATATATATAAGTAGGTACATCAGCAGTCTGGTTCTCATAACGCAGACTCTGCCTAAATTGGAATCAGACGGCATCGTGTAACATGTAATAAAAAAAGGAAACAGCCGAACACATGCGTATTCAGGGGCACTCGATTCTCTCGGCCTCTGCAGTTGTTAGTCGATTGGATCGTTCCCTCTTGTACCGACCTGCACCATCGAAGTTCTTAAATTAGTTTCGTTTGCACCATAATACTATTTCACCATAATTTACTCGTTTATTCCATCCAACCTACCAGTAGGTCAATTATCGGACAATTATGGTACAGCTTACCCTATACAAATTGCATATTTTATAATCTTATATATAAAATTCTCCTGCCACAATGTTAGTTACCATACTCCTCCGAAACGGCTGGACCGATTTTTTTATGAAATTTTGTGTGCACATCGGGTAGGTCTGAGAATCGGCCAACATCTATTTTTCATGCCCCTAAAAGACAAGGGTGACCCACCCACCCCTAAATTTTATTTTTTCAATATTTCCTAGAAAAAATGTATATGGCAAAACAACGTTTGCCGGGTCAGCTAATTATTTACATAAATTGCAACTTAAAAACAAGAACACTGAGTTTACATTAACTTGTGTCATTTCAAAAGTGCGTTCGTTTTCACCGTTAATGATGCAAACGAAACTAATTAGTTTCTTCTGCGCCATTGATGGTGCAGATTAATAGTCCTATTTATAAAAGTCCAATTTTCATAATACCTAAGAATTATAATGTCTATTATTAAAATTCACAAAATTTATTTTTCCGAAAGTTGTAATTGCGATTTGTTTGATTTTCGATTTTATAAAAATCGGATAACAAACAAATTAGATCGTTAGAAGAATGAAATACGCGATGGGTTCTCGGTCCGAAAAACGATATTCCGATTTTCAATACTTCGAATAAACTGCTAAAATTAAGATTCTGAGCCAGTTACGCATATTATTTCAAAATCTATAAGAACGGAATTCGATTTTTTAATGTTCTTTTTATTCAATTTATTGAAACTCGATATTTTGAGCATAGTAATTAGAAACGTTAGGAATATCGAAATTTTTGGGTTATAAAATAGAATGAATGATAAATCAGAGTTACATTAAGAATTTTAAACCATTCCGAATTATGAAAATCGTATTTGTGACTGACGGAATAAGTTTTTCGTATTTATATAGTGCTGGGTGTTGCTTAGTATTTTAGTTTATTACTAATGTAACCTATATGCGCCTACGTGACAGGATTTCTTCGCCACCCAAAGGTTGACTGGAAGAAAATGTCGTGGGTATTAAGTCCGCCGATGTACAAAAGTGCATAAAGTTATGTAAATAAATAAAATAAAATCAAATGTATTTTTCCAGGTTGGTATCCTTTACATCGAGGTCTTTGCTCATACTCTAATAATCCCCATGAATTCCTCTCAACATTTGACGAGATGTATGAAGCGAGTACTCAGAAATTTTTCTCCAGGGCTGATTTCTATGAACAGGAGTATAGAGTGGATGGAAACGGACCTGAAATTGTAGCAAAGAAGAAAAGAAAATAATTACTGAAAATGAGTTTCTTTTACTTATATTAACAAACGTTAATATATTGCTATGAGCGGGGTATATAATAAATAAAAGTTGTCAGTTAATTACTTTATTTCACTGTATTTACAAACACTCACTATAATAGACTAGAAATCACTATATATCTTGTTAATCGCACTATAAATTCACTACGATGTTAATTCGCTGTGTCGTTAAACGAAACTGTCCCAAACGGCCAACATGCTCCGCTTTTATAGCGTTTTTGAATTTTACTAGAAAGAGCGAAAGGCCGTTCCAGACAACACGAATATTCCACAATCAGTCACGCGTTACTTGCAGCGCCATCTAGCGCTGTAAAGATCAGAACTACTCGTATTAACCATAATCTTAATAGATGTACTTGGTCGATACTAGATGGCGCTGTCCTCCACATTTTATACAATCGAACCATTTAATCCTATGGCGCAACAATATGTCCATGTTTTTATATCTTCTACCACATCCGTCCCAGGACAGACTATTCTAGTAAGTACAATCTTAGTTACAATACCTCAACTTGGCTGTATCCAATATTCTGCCCCTTTCTCGCTTGATTTAATTTTCCTTGCTGAATTACGGGCCTGTTGGTCTAGTGGTTAGTGACCCTTATTTTTTTCTGTGCGGAAACCCCCTCGGATACCACCCACGCGTGGTTATGTCGGACTCGAACCGACGAAAAACCGCACGCCGTCTCGGGTACCAGGTGCCGGGAAACCAGGTGAACGCTTTTTTTTTCTGCGGTACCTGGCCCGTTGCCTTTCCCGGTACCGCTCCGCCATCACCTTTGCCAGCATAACTTACGCGCAGAAGGAGACGGCGGAGTTCCACGAACTCTCGCTCCCTACCATGGCGGCAATCATGTTACCGAGCGAGAGAATTCCCACTCCGATGGCCGCCATCAGGAAACGCCTCTGTTTCACCCACGCCAGGCATTCTGCCAGCGTGTGTAGCGCCGTGTCCACGGTCCGGCCATCTCTGTGGTGGCACTCAGGCGTTGTCTCCTCTCGGATTAGACACAGGCGATCTCCGACGCATCCTTTCCCAGAGATCTCCGGCGGCAACCGGTATGAGAGGGTTCCGTGATGCCTCTCGAGCCTAACCTTCAAAACGGGTCTTACCGCCACGACAACGGCGTGCCCAGCGCTCGGTTGCCCAAGTCGTTCCTCCCACTCCTCCACGAGGAAGTGTTGGAATGAATGAACGAGTTGCAATTTCTGATCTTAGATTTCTCGAGAGTCAGGACACCGACCCAACTCCCTCGCGTCCTTGCGCCACCACGTCCCATGGTGGAGTTCTGGCCAGGAGACTCGTCGCCTCAAACGAGATCGTGCGGTACCCCTTTATGACCCTGATGGCTAGCATTCGCTGCGGTCGTCACAGTAGTGCGACGTTGCTGGCCTTCAGGGCCTCATAAAAGCCCATGGACGGCACAACCCCCTCGTAGAATCTCCTGCAGGAGTCATCGGGTCCCCTCATGTTGGACAGCAGCCGCGCCAATGCAGGCGCTGCTCCAACCAACTTGGGGACCAGACCTCGAAAATGGTGTTCGAAGTCCAATCGGCCATCAAGTACGAGCCCCAGATACCTCATCGAGGCCTCGATGCCGATGCTAGTGCCTCCTACTACGAGGCTGGATCCCTTAGTGGTGGCTTCCTCCGAGGTCCGTGAAAGAACAAGGCCTCGGATTTGTGAACAGCCCCCTCAAGACCTAGCTGCCGGATCCGCTCAATTTTGAATAATGGCCCCGCTCGAGGCATGCGCTGACCTGTGTGTGGTTGGTGAACCTAACTGCTAAGTAGGTTTATAAGCAGGCTGGTTGCCATAGCATAGGCTTTAGCCTAGTTTAGAATCAGAGAAGGTACATGACCGAAGGTATAGAATCATATATGGGAGATGTGTGTAGGTATTATTATTAATTTACTTTTTGTACAGTAAGTGGAATTCAAACCGATATTTTTTTTATGTTTAATTTCTTAGTCTTTTAATCCAGAAATCACTTCTGATTCAGAGCGTTTCGCAAAATATATTTCGGTCCTTGATAGGCTATAATCTGTTATCCAGAACATTCCTAAAATTCGACCAGATATATGTATGTGGCGAGCTAACAATAATCGATTTATAGACAGATGACCTAATAATACGCATTTATGGTAGAAGAAAAGTGAATTTAAGATTGGCAACACTGTATAAAATTTGTGCTTGGCGCCAAAAAACAATAAAAATTTCCTCTTTAGTGCTTTTCAAAGAGGGATTAAGATTGTGAGCTGGTTTTTATCACCAAATATAATGGTAATCAATATTTGTATATTATTTACTTGTAATAATAAATTAGACAACCATTTATTTTTCTGTAATTGTCAATTAAATTAAGTTTTACGTAGTAATCCATGTTACGGAGCAATCCTAATGTTAGCGCGGCTTAGCTTGTGTTAAAAGTGCTTAAAATATATTTTTTATGATAGGGGAACATTTTCTGGGTGTATCGTCAACCGGGCACTAGGAGTTAGATGGAAAAACTGAGGGTTCGAAATACAACAATGTTAAGTTGGTTTGTGTAAGCTTCCTCTCAAGCCAAAACCTCCTTTCTAAGGAGAGGCTTATGTCCAGCAGTGGACTATTAAAGGCTGTTGATGATTGATGATGTGTAAGCTTCAAAAACTCGAAAAAATGTGCACCAATTGATCTCAAATTTTAACATGATATACGCGATATTCGATGTTTCGTACATTTTAACGATTATTCGTATTCAAGTGAATTTGAAGAGCCGTAACATTGCAGTAAAGGACCTAACTACGTGTCATTGAAATGAAAAACAAAACATATATTGTGTATTAATTGGTTATTTTGATGTGTTTCAAAGATTTAAATTTAGTACTTAAGAATTGTATACCTTGCGACAAAATAAGAATAGATACATAACTCCATGAAAGGTTGTTGAAATTGTGTGATTTACGCCTATAGAAAGTTGATTCGACTTGAAAAGTATGAAACGTCAAACGGTACTTCTTAAATTGGATGGTACTTGGTACTTTTTAGTCGACTAGACTGTGCCAGAATAAGGATAATGTTTTTCGACCATGTATACTTCTTTGTATTCTTACTTAGCAGCCGTAATGGTGCAGTGGTAGGGAATGCGAATGCTGTGCGAAGGTTCGGGTTCGATATCCGGGTCGGGCAAAACGTTTCCAAGATTGGGTGTTTTCTGTGTATATGTATGTATTTATATAAGTATTCTATCAGTCAATCTAGCTTTCATAGTACAAGCTCTACTTAGTTTGAAACTAGATGGCGTTGTGTGTCACATGTCCAAAATATTATATTATTGTCACGCTTTGTAGTTAAAACCGCTATTTTTCTTTCTCCTAAAAGACAACTCCCGCATTAGGACTATATCCTGTGTCGCGGGGCACTTAACTAACATACATGAAACGGACACAAAGAACACCCAGACTCAGAACGACAATTTGTAGATCACCCAAAATATTGTCCCATGTGGGGTTTGAACCCACAACACTCGGCGTTGCGACCGCTTAAACCACTACGCCATTCGTGCAGTCGATGTATATACCTACCCATACATTTTTATGCAGTTGGATTCCTTTTTTTTCAATAATTAGTCCTTTAGTTTTTGATAACCTATCATTATTTTTATTTAATGCTCAGATGGCGCGTTCTCTCCGCCAAAGACCACGAATAAATTACTATGAACCGGAAGAGCCTCAATTTGATGAATATATTTGTAAGTATTTTGATAACTCTTTGATCTTTAAATCTCTTATTTGCACGTCGCGATATAAGTAATCGTTGGTCCCGGTTTCCATATGAATAATAATAATAATAACCTCACACATCTCACACACAGCCGTCTGATCCCAAACTAGGCAGAGCCTGTACTATGGTAACCAGACTGCTGATAAACATACTTATAATACAAGGTGTCTCAAAAGAAAGTTTATATTTAGTAGATCGATTAAAAAAAAAGTAAGCAGTGTATCGAAAAAATGTTTATTAATTATTAAAGTACACAATTTGGGCATTTATTTCTTAAAAATAATATCGTCCAAATGTAGACCCTCGCGTTCGCGGCACTCATTTAATTAAACAGTAAAATTACTTGTGGTGGACTCAGTGATAGCTGCCATTTCGTGACGGATATTTTCTTTCAAATGCGCCAGGGAAGTCGGTTTATTCGCGTGAACTTTAGATTTAAGATAACCCCATAGGAAAAAGTCCATAGGGGTTAAATCAGGACTGCGTGGAGGCCAATTTATGTCACCTCTCCTGGAGATCAATTTTCCTGAGAAAATTTCACGAACTCGATGCAGAGACGTATTGGACGTGTGTGACGTTGCTCCGTCCTGCTGGATCCATGTTCTTTAGTTATGGCCAGGCAAGTTTTTCAGTTTAGGCGCCAAGAAGTCGTTTAACATCTCCACATAACGCTCTGAATTCACTGTAACTGCACGCCCCCATTCGTCTTCAAAAAAGTAAGGGCCGATAATTCCTCGCGCCGACATCGCAGCCCATACTTTCACTTTAGGCAATTCTGCTTATTTACGTGTCCATTAACATGAAAATGAGCTTCATCCGAAAACAAGATGTTGGTAAACGTTGAAAAGCGCTCAATCGCCTGATTTACGAAGTCAAGCCTCTGACTGGCATCTTGGGGCTTTAATTTTTGCACCAATTGAATTTTGTAGGGGTGCAGCTTTAGGTCTTTGTGTAAAATGCGGTGTAATGATGATCTATGCACATTTAAAGCACTTGCGCGCTTCCGAATTGAAAGGTTCGGGTCGTCACGAACAGACTTATTAACACTCTCCACGTTTTCTACCGTTCTTGATGACCTTGGTCGCCTGGATTTTGGTTTTTCCAGCGTTGTACCGGTCTCTTCAAACTTTGTGACCCATTTTCGAATAAGAGGAATACTTGGCGCATCATTTAAATGGCGAAAACCTCGAACACTACAGAACCT